GGGGCCTGGGAGGCCTGGGCGGAGGCTTGGGCTGCGGCGGGCGTGGCCTGCAGGCACGGCAAGGCAGCCGCGTATAGAAAAGATGTGTTCACGGGTCGACCCAGCCCTGGCATTGTTGTTTGGTATCGTTTCTAATCTATCTCCTCTCTAGTCTACAATATGTGAGGAGGAGGGGGAGAGGAGGGGGCACCTCGGCGGGTTTGGTGGCGGCGGGTGAGGGCTAGGTGGCAGAGGGGCAGGCGGGAGCGGGCTTGGCGGCGCCGGGGTGGGCGGCGCCGGCGAGGGGGGATGCGGGCTGGGTGGGGGCTTAGGCTGAGGAGGAGGAGGCTGCGGTTTCGGCGGGTGCGGGCTGGGCGGTGCCGGCAAGGGCGGCACCGGGGCAGGTGGTGGCGGGCTGCTTCGCTGAGGGGTGGGCGGTGGCGTGGGCGGGGGAGGCCTGGGCGGTGGCGGGTGGCTGGGTGGCGGAGGGGGCTTGGGCGGTGGGGGATGGCTGGGAGGCAGGGGACTGCAAGGAACCGAATGGCTCCCTCTAATCTGATCTACCCTACTCTAAGCTACCTAATCCTACTGCTGAGAGGAGCAAGGCAGCAGAGCCACACCTGGGCGGCGGTCGAGGCTTGGGCCGCGGCGGCGGCGGGCGTGGCGGCGGGCTCGGCGGCGGCCACTGCAGCGGCGGCGGCGCGTTGGCGATGGCCCGCAGGTTCCAAAAGGTCGTGCCCAGAGCTGCGTGGGGGGCAGGGGGGGCAGCAGGAGAGCACGGGCAGTGAGCAAGGCGAGGCGAGCATCAGCCCTCTGCCCGACAGGTGCCGCCCGCTGCCGCTGCGTCAGGCCTGCCTGCCTGGCGGGGCGAACACCGGAGCCTCCCGCGGCCGGGGAGGCTGCCGCTGGCCGCCACCCTTGCCGCGTCCCGCTCCAGTGCACCCCCTGCCACATACAAAGCAAGCGCCGGCTGCACGCAGGCGGGCCGTCCGCGGCGCCCGGCGCCGCCCACCCGAGTGTGCCGCGCGGTCTTTCCTCCCTCCCGACGCAAACGGGCGCAGGCCGTAGCCGACGTCGACGTCGGTGAAGAGGTTGGCGTAGGGTCCAGCCCGATGGTGGTCCAGGTTCAGGTCCCGCCCGCGGCCGCGGGTGAAGACGTTGAGGGAGGCGCCGCTGGATACCGTGAGGTCGTGGATGTCTGCAGGGGGGGCGGCGGCGGGGAGGGCCGGGGCGGAGGTTGGTTGGCTGTGGTGGTGGTGGTGGCGGCGGTGGTGGCGGTGGCGGTGGTGGCGGAGGTGGTTGGAGACCGCTTGTGAATAGGTATCGCTCAACTCTGCGCGGCGGGCGGCTGCGCCGGCAGCGCAGCACATGCGCGCGAAGGGCGGCGCCAGCCCGAGGGCGGCGGGGCGTCCCGGGCGCGCCCCCACGCTCACACTTGGCGGCGATGTTGAAGCGGTCGATGCGGTTGGAGTGGGCGTGGGTGATGCCGATGGCGTGGTGGCCGTTCTCCGAGTCTTTAAATTCGGCATCCACCCAGCGCCGCTGCGTCACATCCACCGTCACGTCTGCGGGCGCAGGAAAAGCACGCGGCGCCGGCGCGGTGAGCGGCCGAGGCTCGGGCTGGGCGAGGGAGGCCGCCGTTGGGGACGCCGCTGGCAGGCACGCAGGCATATTGCACGGCCGGCAGGCAAGCATGTGTGGCGGCCAGGCAGGCACACACGCACACACACGCACACACACACCTTCGAATGTGGAGCGGTCAGCCCAGGAGGTGAACAGCGCGTTGTCGGCGTTCAGCACGGTAACCTGCGATGGGGGCGGCGGGTGGGTCTGTCGGCCTGCCTGCCTGTCTGAAGGTGTTCTCCTGCTGCCACTGTCGGTGAGGGGCGGTGGGCCGGCCTCAGCAGGCTGTAACATACACAGGCTGTAGCGCTCACACCCATACGAAGCAAGAGAGTACTGCGGGCCCGGCTGTGGGGTGGCCGACGGCAAGGCGCGCGCCCGGCCCCACCTGCCCCACCCTGGCGCCACCTGCCCCACCCTGGCGCCACCTGGCTCAGCCCGCCTGCCCCCCCACCTCCCCCACGCACCTTGCTGACCCACATGTTGGCCACAGCCTTGAACTCCATCGCATTGTAGCCCCGGTCGGTGAAGTGTGGCCCAACCATGGAGTGGCTGCACGGCGCAGGAGGGGAGGGAGCAGGCAGCCAGGCAGCCGTTAGGTGGCGGGGCGGCACAAGGAGGCGCGCGGGCAGCGCACGGCACGGCGGGCGGCGGGGGCCGGCGGGGAAGGCGCGCGAGAGGGCCGGCGTCACGCTGCGCTGCGGCGCTCACTCGAATGCGATAGTCATCTTCTCCATGCCGCCGTTCTGGACGGTGGGGTAGTAACTGTGCACCACGGTATCCCACCCGGCTTTCACTGCACCAGGGACAGCAGCAGGAGTCGGGAGCAGCCCAGCAGGGCAGGGCGCGGCAAGGGAGGGACTCTGCCAACAGTCCAGGCCAGGGCACTGCCAGGGGCACAAGGCAGCAGCGGAAGGGGTGAACGATGGCGCACCTGGGAAGGGGAGCTCTCGGTCCAGCTCAATCCAGTTGCTTCCCACGGCAGACACCCTGCACACCAACCAAGGTGAAAACCACCTTGCATGTGCCGATGTGACAACGACCAAGTGTGACAGCTACACCAGAGAGACATCAAGCAGCTGAGGCGGGGAGCACGAGGCCCCATGCTTGCCCGAGCAGCAGCACACTCACTTAGCGGACAGGCTGACTTCGTCTGTGTCCACAGCGCTTGGCTGGCCGCTGTCGGCCAGCCCGTCGCCGTACTGCAGAGGGTCAGGAAGAGGGCAGGCAGGCAGGCTGATCAATTAGCGGCTGGAAGCTCATTACACCAGCAAGCAGCAGCCATGGAGGCAGGGCAGCATGGCGGCGGGCCCAGCCCTCGTCTGCCCCGGCGCGGCCCCGCTCACTCACCAGCCACGCCACCACCGTGCCGGGTGCTGCTGCTGCTGCCACCACCATGCCCGACTCCTGGATGGCGGCTTTGTCTGCCGCAAGCGCCTGCGCCGCCGTCACCCCTTCCTCATCAAATGCGCCGAACAGCGCCGCACCCTCCATGGCCGCTTGGTACACCGCATCCTGTTGCAGCCAGTCGGGCGGCTGCCGCGTAACCAGCTGAATGCTGCTGCCGGTGGTGGCATCGGTGACGGTGGTGACGGAGACGGTGCTGTTGGTGGAGAGGAGGCTGCGGCGGCGGAGAGCCGACAGCAGGCGTCGCCGGCGGCCGGCTGCACCAGGAAAGGGGCAGGGCAGATGGAATGACGTGCGGGGCAGGGCACCAGCAGGCTAGATGGAGTGCATGCTAAGCAGGATGCTACACACATTGCCTGGCGATTGGCGGTACTGCTGCGCACCTGCTGTGGAGTCGTCGTTGACAAACACCCGCACCCACTGTCCAACGAAGAGCTTGAAGGTGCTGTCCACCTGGCACAGCAGGCGCAGCATGGCACAGCACCAAGTGAAGCAGAATGGGAACTGGAGGCATCAACAGCACTTCCGGCAGCATCAGCACCCGGCCAGGGTGGGGAGGGGAAGCACGGGACGGAGGCAGCAGCGAGCGCCTTGCAGCCTGCATGGCGCCTTGCAAGCAGGGCCAGCAGCGTGCGCGCACCTGCAGGCGGAAGGCCCCCTGGGGCGCCGTGCCGGTGACCGCCGCCAGGCGGGAGTCTGTGTGGTAGCTGCGCGGCGTGCGGCCCTTGAACAAGAAGAAAGCGCCGCCGAACGACCAGGAGGAGGTGATCTTGCCATCGGAGTCTATGGTCCATGTGCCGGCATACACGTCTGAGAGCGAGACGGGGATGCGGATGGTGGTGGTGCCCTCCTGCAGGGGCCCAGCCCAGGCGCGGCCAGCCGGCTGTGTGGTGCTGCGCGGGCGGGGCGACGCGCTGCTGGCCCGGCTGCTGCTCGAGCCGGCGCAGGCGGTGGCTGCTGGCACAGTGGACCGAGCAGGGTGTCCGCGTAGCCAACACACAGCCGGCAGCAAGGCGGCCCCGTCTCCAAGCTCACCCCGTCACCACGCAGCACCACGCCGGCGCGTTCAATAACAATTGGCTCTCTCAGAACATACGTCCCAGCGGGCAGGTAGATCACGCCGCCCGCCTTGTTGGCATTTGCGTCGGCAATGGCAGCCTGCATGGGGCGGGGCAGCGCACTGTGGTGCTCGAGGGCTGCTGCACCGCTGCCACAAGAATGCCCAGCGAGGGAGGGCCCAGCAGACCACGTGTGCGTGCGGGTCTTCTCCAGGCGGCAGTTGGGCAGCACAAGGATGTGCTGGCATAGCTGTGCTGTCTAGCAACACTGACTGGCGTGGCAGGTAGCGGACCGGCCCCTAGCCCACCTTGATCGCCGATGTGTCATCTGTCTGGCCGTCTCCCTTGGCATTGTAGGGAGCACTGCTTATGTTGTAGGTGACGGGGGGCGAGGGCAAGCCCTGGCCATCTGCGAAGGATTTCACGGGGCCAAGCGAGACGGGTCGAGAACCTGGTGCAGCGCCAGGTTCGCCAGGCGCCGCGCTGCCGTTGGCCCGCAGGCGGAGCATGCACAGCCCTGGTCCCTGCAGCAGAGCCTGAGAAAGCACCACCGGGACGTGCCTTGGTAGCCTGCAAGGCTGAAATCGTAGCCACGCCCTGCCGGCAGGTAGAGGTTGGCGGCCGCCAGCGACGGACGCGCGGGCGCTGGCGGTGGCAGCTGTTGGCTGGCGGCGGCCCCTGTGGGAGTGGCAGGCAGGCGGCCCTTTCGCTCAGTGACGACGTGAGAGACCTTAATGAGCCGTGAGGATGCAAAAACAGCTTCTGTCTGATGTCAACATGGCAATGACCCCCCGGGCCACCAAACTCACCAACCAGCACCAGGAGGGCACCACACCACAGGATGGCGCCTCCGGAGGGTGATCCGACCATTCCCAGCGCCACAGCGAGAGTTCACCTCCTGCTGTTCTTACCTCCGACCTGTTTGCCCTTTGCGGGATGAGGCTGCTTGCATGGTTCAAATGCTTGCTGCTGAAGTAGCCGAGGATCAGTAAGCTGGGAGATGGGGCGGTTGGACATGGGACGCGTTGCTGGCTTCTGCGGGTGCTTAGGCAGCTCCGGAACATGCCTTCGAACACTCACAAAGGCCCATTGCAAACAAGCGTGCCAATAATGAATCAGGGCTAGTCTCACGGTTGTTCATGCAGTGGGCACAGGAGAGCGGGCAGGAGGCATGCGCTAGGCATGCACATACATGTGCACGAGCGGGCGGGGCTTGGGGCTTGATCTGACAAAGGCAGGGCTTGATCTGAAAAAGAATCAAAGAGGAGAAGAACAAATTTCGCTGCTGATTGAAGCTTTTATTTCATTCTGTGAAGGCGTTGCAAGCATCGTCTTGCCGGCTTGTGGCGTCCTGGAAGGCGGGCGGCGGTCAGTCGCTGCTGGCGGCGCCGGCCGAGAACACCGGCCAGCCGCCGCCGGCCGCGGCTGCGGCCATGGCCGGCTGCGCCAGCGCCCGCGCCAGCGCCGCCCTGTATGAGGGCGCCAGCACGCCCTTGACGGGCGGCTGCAGGGTGCGGAACAGGGTGACATCCACGTCCAGGTGCACGGCGGCGCGACGCAGCGCGGGGTTGATGGGCTGGGAGATGGTCACGCGGGCATAACCTGCGAGCGGGCGTCACCAAGCGGCACCAGCGGTGGTTAGGGAAACCCTCGGCAGAGCGGGAGTGGGGGGCTGGGCGCGGCCGGCTGGCTGGCGTGGGTGCGGGCGGTTTGCCCCTGCTCAGCCGGATCCCTGGCTGGCGCAGCGCAGCATGACTCTGCTCCCAGGTGCAGGGCCGGGCCCCCAGCGGCCCACCCACCTGCATCCACCACCACCAGGCCTGGCGTGATCCTGGTGACGCTGGGCTGGGTAAAGGTGACCTTCAGGCCTGCCCGCAGGCGGGCGAGCCCCACCGGGGCCTTCTGCCCGTTGTAGGTGGGCTCCAGCTTCCACACCCGCGCGCCGCCCACCCCGGTGCCGGTGATGTTGACCTGCACCGTGTTGCCGCGGGCCTCCACAATCATCGACCTCATGACTGTGCCGCGGCCAATGGATTGCATCTGCGGTGGGGGATTCAGGGGAGGGCGAGTCGGGGCAGGGTGGGGGCCTGCACCTGGCCGCTGCCACCTCCTCCCCCCCAAACGCACCAGGGCGCTGTTACCTCCTCCCCCCCAAACGCACCAGGGCGCTCAGCTTGAAGCCCTGGAGCTGGCTGGACAGCAGCAGCGACCACTGCCCTGGCGTACCGTGGAAAGTGAACTCGCTGCCATCAAAGCCCTGCGGCATGGCGGGGGTGGGGGTGCCCAGTAGGTGGGTGGGGTGGGGTGGGGTGGGGATGATGATGATATGTCAGGGCCGCATGGAGCCAGCATCTGTCGCTGCCGCTGAAATTGGGCAGGGGAACAGCCGGCGCAGGGCAGGAGCAGGGAGCCGGAAGTGTGCTGGGAGGTTGTGCTGGAA